ATACAGCGAGTACCGTCTGTAAGTACCGCGAGTAAGTAACTGGAAATTCACTATTGACGGATTTCAAAAACTGTGGACACATGTACATTCTACTTATGGCTTTTCTAAATTAAACACGCGATATTGTAATCAGGATCCTTTAGAAAATTTTTTCGGCTTAATTAGAAGTCATGCGGTTCGTAATACTAATCCTACTCCTCGACAGTTTGAAGATTCGTTCATCACTTTACTAGTGAGCAACATGAAGTCCATCTCCATTGTTGGCGGTAATTGCGAAGCCGCTGATGACAGCTTCATGTTGTTTTCACTAGAACGTTTGAAAGACGACGTCTCAAATGTTGAAATGGATCGTGTCATTCGCAAGGACACTTGTATTGATGAACCGCTTGAATTAGTTTCGGATTATATCATTAACGAAGATGTATTAGTTACCTCATTATCAGAAGATTCGACGAAAATTATAGATTTTATTTTAAAACAAGTTCATTATTGTTCCGAATGCAATGAATCTTTTAAAAATAGTGAATTTCTTGTTTGCGCGCAACAAGTAGTAAGTAGAATTAATAAATTATTAAAAAATAGAAGTCACAGACGAAATCTTTTACATGTAATTTTACAACATTTTGAAGAATTTAATGTTAATATTACTTGGCATGAATGCACCGAGCATCATGCTAACATATTTCAAATAATGGTGCGTGCAATTGCTGTTCGAACAATACAGTGGTGGTGTGAACGTAAAAATAACATTATTAACGATTATAACGTTGATTTAGTGCAATGCGAAGCGAGAGAAAATATTGTACAAATAAAGTGTATGCGTGCGTCATTGAAATGTCATAAATATAATAGGAAAGAAAAACTTCAAATGTATAGAGACGCGGTTAGACAAAATCGTTTAAAGTAAGAATACATTTGTAACATTGATTGTTATTCGGCTGAGTAATGTGAAATGTGTGGGGTGCGATATTATATAGCGATATTATACATGTGAGATGCGATGTAGCTTAGCATATTAATTAGGTAGAATTCTTCAACTCCGACTCATCTGCCTGAAGAAGTCATATTTTCTCTCTCTTTTTAAGAGATCGGGAAGGCATGCCTTCAGGTCGGAGGAGGAGGGGATGAGTCCGGAGGAAAGATGTGACGTCTTTGCGAAGCGGGATAGGTAGCATCTGTGAAGAATGTATAGGGTTGTATGAGTGAGTGTGTGTGTAACTCCACCTCCAACTCGAAGAAGTTATGCTTTCTTAATAGAAGGCATGCCTTCGAGGACGAGAAGCGAGAATTGTACTCGGTGGAGAATATTGCTTCTGAATGCATGTGAGTGTGGTATGTTAGTATATTTTATTTTTTCATATCTCGCTGCATGTTTTTATTTTTATATATTACGTTATATGTTACTATTGCAAATGTTGCAAACGCTTATAATTTATTGTACACCAATGTTTAGAGTGAGTGTGTGAATGCTTATGTGCGCTGATGCAGGTGGTTAGTGCATCAAATTTTTTTATTAACCACACCAGGTATATGGCAAAAGAGTATCTGACAATCCGCAGTCTGCAAGTGGGACGGGAAAAATTTGATGCATTACATTTCATGCATTACATTTATTGTAATTACTTTTTCTTTAACTGTATTTATGTTTTCATTTAAAATAATAATAATAATATATATATATAATAATAATAATATATATATATTATTATTATTATTTTATATATATATATATATATATATATATATATATATATATATA